CTACGGCTGCGCCGGCTCGACGCTCATGCTGCCGGAGGACATGGAGAAGATGTGGGTGTAGAGCGGGAAGCTGACGTAGACCAGGGCGATGAAGAAGGTGAAGACGTAGCCCATGTGGATGGCCCGGCTGTGGTACTTCTTGGGGATCTCCAAGGCTGGCGCGGGCACAACCTTCTGCCAGCCGAGGCACATGTGCGTGCTGAAGATGATCACGGCCGCCAGGTAGAAGAGCACCCAGCCCAAGGACTGGAAGATCTCGAACTCCATGCGGTAGATGTCGCGGACGTACACCGCCTCGCAGCCGGGATCGTCCACCCAGAAGAGGTTCAGCCTGAGCTGGAGCAGCGTCTTCCTCAGTCAGCAGGCGGTTTGGGCTTGCGAGCTTAGGGAGTAAAGGTTTCGATTTTAAGGCTTCCAGGAGGCCATGGAAAGAAGTGTCCATGCCAACCCCAAGCGCTTGAAGCACCCCACAGCTATCGAGCCCTCCCCAAACAAAGTTCCAACCCCTGAGGGCACCAGGGACAGGCCCTCACAACCCTCCAATTTCTCAACCTACGCCCTAATCCCGAAAGTCAGGGCGGCTCTGTCGCAGGGGGGGGGGCTTAGGGTTGAGGGCTGAGGAGTTCTAATCCCTAAACCCCAAACACCCAACAGTCTGAGCCGATTGTCCCTGAAGTTCGAGCCCTTACCCGGGCTCACGGTTTGGCCTTAGGCTCTTTGAGAACATCTTGCGTGCATGGGGTTTAGGGCGTGGGGTCCTACATTCAGTAGCGGAATTGGTTTGCAAGGCCGCGGGGCGCGTTGGATCACTTTCCGAACCCAAAACGGGAAGCGCTGTTTTAAGCACAGGGAGCCCGCGACTAAACAGGCCCCCCCAAACCCTCAACACCAGATCCCTAAGTATCCCTGTCCTGGCTTCCTCACAAATCGGGCTCTTTGGGGGAACCCTAAACCCTAAACCCTAACCCCTAAACCCTAAACCCTAAACCCGAAACCCTAAACTCTAAACCCTAAACCTGGTACCCTAACCCGACACCCTGAACCCAGACAGATTCTGCCCAGCCATGGAAGCCGGGGAGCAGGTTCAGCAGGTAGGGCGGCGGGCACAACTTCCAGGGCTTGGTGTCACCGAACCTGGACTGACAGGGCTTAGGGATTAGGGGTTGGGGCTTGGGGCTTGGGGCTTAGGGTTTAGGGTTTAGGGTTTAGGGTTTAGGGCTTAGGGTTTAGGGTTTAGGGTCTGGGGTTTAGGGTTTAGGGTTTAGGGTGTAGGGTTTAGGGCCTGGGGTTTAGGGTTTAGGGTCTAGGGTTTAGGGTTTAGGGTTCAGTTCGCCGTTCCTTGGTGTTTTGCTGCCGAAGTTCAAGGCTCCCTAAACCCTAAACCCTAAACCCTAATCCCTAAACCGCGGCATCAGGTTGACTAAGTTCATTTGGTCCGAGAACGGGCTCTGTGGAGTCTTTGGGCGGGTTGTAGGGTTTGGGGTTTACGGTTTGGGGTTTAGAGTTTCGGGTTTAGGTTTAGGGTTTAGGGTTTAGGGTTTAGGGTTTAGGGTTTAGGGTTTAGGGTTTAGGGTTTAGGGTTTAGGGTTTAGGGTTTAGGGTTTAGGGTTTAGGGTTTAGGGTTTAGGGTTTAGGGTTGGGGAACCCTGTCTCATCGTTTGGTAAGGCACCGGGATGTGCCCCTGGATGTATCTTGAAAGCATAGGGGATAGGATTAGGGGGACCCTTGGGGAAAAGACCCTCTGAATAAGGTCCCTGTTTAAGAGAGCCAGAAGAGGGTTCAGAAGGGGTTCCCTTTTGAGGGTCCCCCTTATCCTACCTAGGAAAGCAGCACTCGAGTTGACTACGTCTGTGGTGGGGCTTCAGGTCTCGCCCATCTCGCAAAAAAACACAAACCTCCTCGGCAGCTTCCGGGCCCCCCCGCCGGAATTGGTAGAGGTGGATCATCATGAAGGTGAGGAGGGTGATCCCGGAGAACGCCAGGTTCAACTTACCGGACGCGACCTCTTCGCGCAGGGCTCGGGCTTGAGAGAAGCCTTCACGGGCTACGTAACTACTCGCCTTCGCACTTTGGGCTTTTAACATGAAACATCATTAAGTACTATGGAGACTGTAGAAAAAATAGGTGGGGAGGATTCTCGACATGGGTCGCCCTCTGTATTTAGGTTTCCGGTTAATGCTCGCGATGCTTGGGTTTTGGGGCGACGCGGCTCTCAGAAAACTGGGCTGCCGCTCATGATGCTCCGAAAAGCTCGGGGCGGTCCCGTCTGATGCTCATAATGCTGGGGCTTTGGGGTGGCAAGTTCGCAAGGCTTCCCGGCTGATGCTCCTGATGCTTGGGCTTTGGGGTGACGCGGTTCCCGGAAAACTGGGCGGTCCCGGCTGATGCTCATGATGCTGGGGCTTTGGGGAAAACTGGGCTGCCCCAAAGGCTCGGGGCGGTTTCGGCTGATGCTCATGATGCTCGAAACCCTAAACCGTCAACCGTAAACCTTGGAAGTGTAAGCCCAAACCCTGTGCCCACAAAGACCCCACAAACCAGCCCACAACCCAAAGACCCTGAACCCCGTAACACATAAGCCCACAGGTTGTTCTACGTTAACAACCCAAAACCTATTGTTTTGTAGGTCGGCTCATGGTTCTATATCTGATGTCGACCTTAAAAAATGGAGAACAAGCTAGGCAGGTCTGGGGACATTACGGCGTCCCTACTTAAACCCTAAACCCCTAAAACCCAAAACACCAAACCCGAAACCCTCTACCCAAAGCCGGCTGCTGCCAGGCCGCAGTGTAGTTGATGCTGATGTCCCACGTCCTTCCACAGGGAAATCTGGCATCAAGCCTTTAGGGTTGAGGGCAGCCTCTCGGGCTGCTTCGACTCCCCTAAACCCACCGAAATCCCTAAATCCCTTACTAAACCCTAAAACGCATGAACCGTTCAACCCCTAAAACCCCTAAACCCCCCTAGAGCACCAGAAGCCCCCTAATCCAGGAGCCCTAAGCCCCCTAAACCCTCAACCCTAAACCCTCAACCCTAAACCCCAAACCCTACACCCTAAAGCCAGCCCCGGGAGCGCCTCTTGAGGGCGACGAAGACATGAAGCAGGGCCGCCAGGAGGATGTACTCCTCGACGATGTTGGCCTGGCGCCCGAGATTTCCCCCTGAACGGAGGGCTGAGGCTTGGGCTTTTGCAGGGTTAAGGGTGTTGGGGTTTAGGGTTTAGGGTTTGGGGTTTAGGGTTTAAGGTTTAGGGTTACGGGTAAGGGGTTTGGGTTTTGGGGTTTGGGGTATTGGGCTTTGTAGGTAGGTTGAGGGGTTGCGGGCTTCGGGTCCCCAGGTGCCGTTTCTGACCAAGGGCTTGCACACTCAGAGAGCCTCAATTGCCCCTGGGTTTAGGGTTTAGGGTTTAGGGTTTAGGGTTTAGGGTTTAGGGTTTAGGGTTTAGGGTTTAGGGTTTAGGGTAAACTCTGGAATGAAGTCGTCATCAGGACCCCGCTTGGCAAGCTCGAAAAGCAGGCATGCCTCGTCCCTCTCCCCCCGAAAAAAATCGCAGGCGCAACTAAGTTTCTCACTTATTGGGCAACAACCAGCGACAGCAAAAACATGTTGCTTAAGTGTGTCCAACGGACAACCCTTGCTACATTCAAAAAACATTTATCTTTTTACAGCGTACAAGGCCGTGCAACTCCGCTTCAACTTCCTTTGCTCCCACACTGCCTGAATGCAAAGACCCTCATGCCAGCGATGACTCGAAAATCCCCCTAAACCCGAAACCCTAAACCCTAACCCCTAAACCCTAAGCCCTAAACCCTAAGCCAGATGATCGAAATGCTTGATGCTTCGACCAGGACAGATGTGCGGAAAACATATATTGGGGCTATGGTCCTATAAAGCCATAGCTCAGGAGATGGGGCCCCCCCGAGTTGCCAGGGTTGCTCCGAAAGCTCACGGAGCTGGCTCTCCTGAGCCCTCAACCCCACAACTGCAGAGCAGGGTCGGGGCAAGGGTACCCTAAGCCCTAAACCCTCAAACCCTAAACCCTAAACCCTAAACCCTAGACCCTGGGCCCTGGGCCCTGGACCCTGGACCCTAAACCCTAAACCCTAAGCCCTATACCGCAGAGCCCTCTGACGACCCGACAACCCTCAAAAAAGCCCTCCAGGGCTTCGGCCTGGAAGCCGAAGCCGGTCCAGTAGAGGCGCACGTAGAAGTAGCCGTAGCCGTTGAAGTCGTCCGGGCCTTTTCCCCGGGAGGCTGTCTAAGCATAGCTTCTGGAGCATGTGCACATGCATATACATGTATATATATATATATATACACACACACTAATATATATATATATATATATATATATATATATATATGTATGTATATATATGTAGGTATCATTTACCTATTCAAGCTCCTGAACAGCGCACCCAGGTGTGTGGGGTCCGAAAACTCAAGAACTCCAAGGGGTTCAGGGTTGAGGGTTGAGGGTTTAGGGCAAGCCCCAAGAGTCGAAGACCTGAGGTGATGTAGGGTTTCGGTGTTTGGGGGTTTGGGGGGGGGGGGAGGGGGGGGGAGCCCGAAACTGCCGAGCGCCCGGCCAAGGAAGACGTGCAGGTTTCCCACGGCGTGGATGATGATGAAGATGAAGAGGAACCTCGCGTCTTGTAGGGTTGAGGGTTTTGAGACTTTTTCGGGATTCGGGGTGAGATGCCTCAAAGCTCTGACCTTCAGTGTCTCGCCTCACCCTTGAAACTCGCAGCCCTACACCCGACAAGCCGAAACCGGACCCCATAAAACCTAGGGGCCCCAAAAGCCCCTAAATGTTGGCTCGGACGCGAAACCCTTCTAAACCCTGAGCGCCTCAAACCAAAAAAAACCCTAAACCCTAAACACCAAACCCTAATCCCCTTATGCCCCTTACGCCCCTTATACCCCTTCGGCCCCCTTCGGCCCCCCTTCGGCCCCCTTTGGCCCCTGTGGAGCCGAGGAGCATCGCCGAGCGGGTGAGGCCAACGCGGTCGCCGGTGATGGTCACGTTGCTCTGCGGCACGATGGTGAAGAGGATCTCCTTCATGAAGCCCAAGACCTGGTCGCATTTAGGGCTTATAGGGGTTTCGGGTCTCGGGTTTAGGGTGCGGGGTTTGTTTAGGGTGGAGCGTTTTAGGGCTAGTGCAACTCCAGGTTTTAGGGCTTAGGGTTCCGGGTGCAGGGTTTTATGAGGCTTGGGGTTGAGGGCCTAGGGCTAAGGGTTTAGGGTTTAGGGTTTAGGGTTTAGGGTTTAGGGTTTAGGGCTAAGGGATGTTCAGAGCTTAGCACCTGGCTTGGGGTCACAGGGCTCCTGGGGCTGTGGGTTGGGGCTGTGTGTGGGGAACCCTGGGTGTGCGAAACCTGTAGGGTTTCGGGTTTAGGGTTTAGGGTTTCGGGTTTAGGGTTTAGGGCTTAGGGCTTAGGGCTTAGGGCTTAGGGCTTAGGGCCTGAGGGTTGAGGGCAGTGCAGCCAAGCCGCCATATAGCAGATAGCGCCAATCCATCCCCCAATCTTGCCTCGGCTGCGGCTTGGAATTTAAAAATGGGTGTCTTGGGAACTTGTTGAACGGTCAAGAAGATGGCTTAGATGCCTTTACACGGAAAAGAGCCCAAGTTAACCCTTACTCAACCCTTAACCCTTAAACTCGCCCAATCCCCGATTCGATCATCAGCCGTGCTGCCCTCGCCCTTCATGCGCAGGTCCCGGTTCCTTCGCAGGGGTTGTGGCTCTGGGATCTACAACTTCTCATGGGTTACGCCTGTATTACGACTAGACTGCAGGTTCTTGGGGTTAGGGTTTAGGGCTTATGGTGCCAAAGCAAGACAGGGCTCTGAGGCTGTGTCTGCCCACTGGGCGGGGGGTCCGGATGGTCTGGCGCTTCGTGGTCTCAAAGCAAAAGGGGTTTCGGGCGGCGACTGAAACGTGCGGGGGCTCAGGTGGAAAAATGCGCCTGGCATGCCCGCTTTGCCTGCATCCTCGCCCGCTCGAAACCGGAAGCATATCCCAAAAAGCCTACCCTAAACCCTAAACCCTAAACCCTAAACCCTAAACCAAAAGCCTACAAAACCTGAAAATAACCCCGGAAGCCTCCGCGCCCACACACCTCAAAATCAACAACATACCAAGGCGCTTCTCCGAGCGACTCCAATCTTTGCCCTGGCTTTAGGGTTTAGGGTTTAGGGTTTAGGGTTTAGGGTTTAGGGTTTAGGGCTTAAGGTTTGTCAGGGGGCTTCTGCGAACCTTCCCAATCTGAACCCTATAGGGTTTCCCAGATCTTGCGAGCCATGAAGAGCCCTACAACAAAAGGTACCTGTATTAAACCCCCCAGCCCACGCCCCTGACAACCTAATGAATTTTACCGAACCCCAAGACCCCTGAACCTCCCAACTCCCTGAGCCCTCAACGCCCAATCCCTAAACGAAACCCCGAAATCCCCTAAACCTCCTGACGCAGTCAAACCCCGAAATCCCAACCACCTCAACCCACACCCCTTGAAAAATTGTCTAACTACTCCCTCCCCCCTCCTCCCTCCCCCCTCCCCCCTCCTCCCTCCTCCCCCCTCCCCTATCCCCCCCAGCCTTGTGTCCACCCTTGTCCAGCAGCGGGGCCGCTGCTCCGCCGGAGGCTGCGGGCGCGGATGCAGGAGCCCCGGAGCCCACCTCCATGGGGCTTTGGTTAGTGCGTTTCATGAGGGGGCCCCTCTATAAACCCTGAAAAATGCCTGGTATAATCCCTTACATACCTAAGTTCCTTATACTTGTTCCCTCCATTAGTTCTGGTTCCCCCTCCACAAGCCCCAAGCCCTGCGCCCGAAAGCCTGACTAAGCTCCCGGATGTTCGGCTCGCGGCCGTAAACCTTAGACTGCTACCGGGACTCTCACGACCTGCAGCTTCATGAGTTCTAACTTACCCATTCAGACATGACCCTAAACCCTAAACCCCAAACCCTAAACCCTAAACCCTAAGCCCCCAAACCCTCATCCTTTGACCCAGCAGGCCTTGCCAATGATGGAGTCTGGCGCGTACTTGCCGATCACGTCCGGAGGGTGGATCCTGGTGGAGGCTCTGACTCTGGGTCGAGGATCTAACACCCTAAACCCTAAACCCTAAACCCTAAACCCTAAACCCCACAGTCTGAAGGTTGAGGGTTCGGGGTTCGGGAAGTCGCGGCTTAGGGCACCCACGACTCGCCTGTCGGTTCTTGTCATAATATCCCCCTCGCGTTTGAACCGTCTACCACGAAGACATTCGGGGTTGAACCCTGACCCCAACGCGAGGGGATTCGGCGCTTGAGTGCCCAGGTCTGTTCCGCAGCCGGGAAGCATGTTGAACTCCTCCGTGGCGTCCTTGCCGGCGAAGGTGAGGATGGCCAGCTCGCCACCGGGGTGCTCCGACAAGAAGCTGGTGACGTTCAGGACCTCGGCAGCTTTACCCAAGGGCCAATTCAGGACCCTGTGACTGTTTGGTGTCGTAATAAAATCTCGTGCGTCGCGCCTTAAAATCATCAATTGCCGGGCCTCTCTGTCATTTGCACTCATCCCCCTCAACATCATATAAAAGCCCGGGACCATCTACACAGGGACAAAACCAGATTCATCTGTTCAGGGAACACACTAAAGCAGGTGCAACATTACACGCCAGAAGAAGCCACCCAGCAAGGCTTCTTGCACATGCTCTACATGGAGGCTTTCCCGGCAAGAGCACGGCCCTTGATAGACGGGAAGGTTTAGGGCCCAGGGCTTTGAGGTTTTAAGGATGTAGTTGACTTGTACAAAGTGCATCAGGTCGACCACGTGTACCTCCCCCCCACCCACACACAGACACAAAAAAAAAACTATGAAACAACAAAAACTTCAAAAACACGAGCACAATGGTCGACAACCACTGTTGTAGGTTGATGTCTCTGAGCCTAAGATCCCCCACTTGTCTTCAATGCTTGGGGGCGCAGAAGGGCCTCCGCGCGTGAAGCCCGATGTACCCTAAACCGGAAGCTACCGGGCAAACCCACACCATCCTAGATACAACCCAGAACCCCGGAACCCTAACCCTCAACCCTCCTCAACTCTTCCTGCAGGTCGGGGCGCCTGTCCGTCCACCACAACCCAGCAGTCCGACTTGCTGTTGTGCTTGGCGACCTCCCCATTCGGTTTCATATACGGGGAGCTTGCAACGTTAGGGGTCCGAATTTTGAGGGTTCCGTTTCTTTGTGAGGATTTTCTGCATGCAAGGGGCATAAGAGGCTCCCTTGCTGGTATCCCATGCCCCATGAATCCTGTCCAGACTAGCAATGGGGGGCATGCGACAAGGCTGCGCTTACTACGTTCAATTAAAGCAAGAAAGACAGACGTCAAATGGACGCTGAAACCTTTGCAGCGTGGACTGGGATGCCGGGACGCCGGGATGCTGAGGCACTGAGGCGCCGGCGGGACGCTGAGGCGCCGAGACGCTGGGACGCGGGGACGCGTGGAATGGTTTGAAGTCAGAACTGTAATTCTGCTCCTTTTCTTTTGGGGGCTGCAGCACAACCTCACCGCACTAAATGTCAACAGTATCATGGAATATGCCAGTGCGGCTCTGTAAGGATCAAGTGAAATAAATCGTTTCCGTACATACCATGCATTTCCGGGAAAGCTTTGTGTTTGTCTTTTTCCTCAAGTTGCTTTCCGCGTGTTTCGCTGCTTTGCAGAGAAGTTCACTCCCGTCCCGAGTGCTTCGCAAAGAAATTTGTGACATCGATGGGTTGGGTGACAAGCTCATCAGAAGTGACCTGTAAATACAAATGTTTCGGTCTGCATGCTATAAAAAATGACGAGCCGAAAATGCTTCAAATGCCGAGGATTCCTCCGCCCCCCCAAGAGAGAAAACGAAACACCACATAATCTTTTTTGGTGTGATCAGCAATAGCATCGGAAAGTGCCGAAGACGAATGCAGAGGATTCTGGAAGCACCACCCGCCCCACCTCACCCCCACCCCCCCTCACCTCACCCCCCACTCCCCCAAACCTCACCCCCCTTTGGGCGCTTAGCCTCTATTTGACGTCTGTGCATTTCCGAGAGCTAGCTTCTTGGGGGATGCCCGCAGCTCTGCACCTTGCCGACAATGGCGTTGTGGTGGGTGTTGTGGTGGGTGTTGTGGGTGGTAAGGGCTTTGTGGGGCTTGGGATCGTGGCGTTTAGGACCTGGACCTAGTGTTTTCAGCCACACAATAACTGCAAAGCATAGGAATCTAATCCAAACCCCCATTGTGCCAGCACTGTGTTTGCAAGTGGGAGGGAGGGCGGCGGGAACACCCCCAACCCACCCCCCCCTTTTAAATTTTTTTGGTGAGAGTTTAAAACCATACAATGCTTGCCTTGAAGGTCATATTTAAAATAGCCTATGAAACGTAGTATGAACCTTATGAAACTATCGAGGATGCTTTTTCAAGATATAAAGGGTAAAGAGGCATGTCTTAGGGAAAACCAAGGAAACAGACCCAAAATCAATAAGGATTCAACCAGAATCAACCGACGTCAATACCAAATCATATGAAAGTAGCATGAACCCTATGAATAAAGAGGATCCTTTTGAAAATACAAAAGCGGTCAGAAGTTTCTATTGGGGAAACCACGGAAACAAAGCCAAAATCAATAGGATTCGGGCAAAATTCATAAGAAGTCCTACGAAAAGTAGTATGAATCCTATGAAATATAGAGGGAATGGCAGTTTTCCTTGGAAAGACCCAGAAAACTGACAACAACAAAAAATGACCCGCAAAAAACCCAAAAACAAAATCCACCCCTAGAATACCCCAATACCCCATAACAACCCCAAAATGACTTTAGACTAACCTTATACTAACCCGGATAACCCTACAATAACCCGCGCGAGCGCACCTCTTCCATGGTGATGCCGCCACCACCCCCGCCGCCACCGCCAGCCGCCACGGCGCCGCCGCCGCCGCCTCCGGCTCCGATCCTTCTGAGACGAGCTTGCTTAGGGGGGGACGAGGGGTTTGGGATTTGGGGTTTAGGGTTTAGGGTTTAGGGTTTAGGGCTTAGGGCTTGTCGGGTAGAGTGGAGGTGTGGGGGGGGAAAGGGGTTGAAGCGGGTAGAGGGGATGTAGGGTGTTCGGGGTTTGGGTTTCGGGCTTCGGGCTTGGAGTTTTCGTCAAGAGGCTACAGAGTTGGGCCAGACTGAAGCCTGGAAATCCAGGAATCCCTAAACCCTAAACCCTAAACCCTATAAATCCTGTAAAGAACCTGCAAAGAACCTGCAAAGCCAACAAAGACCCTACAGGTGGACAACCCTAAAGCGGCTGCCCATCGGGGATTGAACCCTAAACCCCAAACCCCCTGGCTCTTCGTAGGGGAATGAGGGAATGAGCTAACCTATGTATACCTTTAAGGGGTCATGTAGGGAACCTAACCTATGTATACCTTTAAGGGATCATGTAGGGAACCTAACCTATGTATACCTTTAAGGGATCATGTAGGGAACCTCATGCCCAAATTCCCTACTAAGAACCTGCCAGTAAACCCTAAGCCCAAGGAGCATTCCGATCACCGAGTCGGGTGCGTACTTGCCGATGACATCGGGAGGATGGATCCTGGTCGTTTCAAGGGGGGGTGTTAGGGTGCAATGGCCATTGAGGGGGCTTGTCAAGAGTCAAGGGCTTCCTTGCCCTAAACCCTAAACCCAAAACCCTAAACTGGCCCTAAACCCTAAACCCCAAACCCCAAACCCAAACCCCAAACCCTAAACTAAGGGGAATTTTAGGGCTCATGAATCCTGATCGTAGAAACGTTGTTTTTGTTTGGTCCTTCCGGGTTGGCAGGGTTCAGGACCTTGACCGGTTGGGGTTCAGTTTAGGGGTTTAGGGGGTTAGGGGTTAAAATTTAAGGGGTTTAGGGGTTTAGGGGTTTAGGGGTTTAGGGGTTTAGGGGTTTAGGGGTTTAGGGGTTTAGGGGTTTAGGGGTTTAGGGGTTTAGGGGTTTAAGGGTTTAGCGGTTTAGGGGTTCAGGGGTTTAGGGGCCAAGGGGTTTAGGGCTTTAGGGGTTTAGGGGTTTAGGGGCTTAGGGGCTTAGGGGCTTAGGGGTTTAGGGGTTTAGGGTTTAGGGTTTAGGGTTTAGCGGGTAGAGGGTTTAGGGTTTAGTTTAGGGTTTAGGGCTTAGGCTTTAGGGTTTAGGGTTTAGGGTTCAAAGTTGAGAGCGTTTGCGGTTCAGGGTTGGTGTTTGGGGCGAGTTGGGATTCTCCGGGACTTATAGCCGCTAGGTCAAGGTTGTTCAGATAAACCTCCCCAAAAACAGTGCCATCGGCATAAACAGCGTTGCATCGTGACTTCAACTTAGCAACGATATCAACGATAAGAACTCAAAAGCCTCTAATCTGTAATAGCTATAATAAGATTAAAAGTAATAATAAAATAACAATACATATAATAACATATAATAACTAGGAATACCTAGGAGCTGCCTGTTGCATGGTCTGCCGAGCTGCATGTTGAACTCCTCCGTGGCGTCCTTGCCGGCGAAGGTGAGGATGGCCAGCTCGCCGCCGGGGTGCTCCGACAAGAAGCTGGTGACGTCCAGCACCTGGCCATCGACCACCACCCAGCAGTCCGCCTTAGTGTTGTGCTTGGCAACGTCGGCAAGGGTGATGCCGCCGCCACCGCCGCCGCCACCGCCCGCGGGTGCGGCACCTGCGGCAGGCGCTGCGGCAGAGTTCATCTTGTCCTCGTAGGAGCCGCCGGCCAGCTTGGAGCTCTCCACGGCGCCGGTCAGGCCTCCGCCGGTGATCTCTTTCAGGTCCACCGGCTTCATGTCCGCACCCAGCATGTACTTGGCGGCTGCGATGCCGGCCACGCGGCCGAACACCACGCAGTCCAGCAGGGAGTTGCCACCCAAGCGGTTGTTGCCGTGCACGCCGCCGGCGACCTCGCCAGCAGCATACAGGCCCGGGACCGGCTTGTTGTCCGAGCCGATGCATGCGGAGTCCGTGTCGATGAGCAGGCCGCCCATGCAGTAGTGGATCACCGGCGTGATGATGGCCACGTAGAAGGACTCGCTCTTCACCGCGGAGCCCGGAATGATGTTGTGGTAGAACTTCTTGCCGCTGCCGGTCTTGCCACTGGCCTCATCCCAGGACTTGCCGGAGGGATACGCGGGCCAGCTGCCTCCATCGGGGTCCGACTCCGTCTTCTTGGCTGCCTGGTAGTGCTCCTCTTGTTGCTGAAGTGTTCCTACCAAGCCTCGGCCCGATAACATACAAGATCATCCCAAACGAGGGCAGCCCCTACGCTCCTGACACGAAGAACACTGGAGAAGCTGCCTAAAGCAACCGCCAGAACCCTGAAGCCCCTAAACTTACAAATTTCGGTGTCCTGTATAAGCCCTTATACACCTTCTTCAGTGGGCATTTGGTACCTGGGTACCTAGGTCCCTAAATCCATAATTCAGAACTATCCCTAAACCCTAAACCCTAAACCCTACACCCTAAACCCTAAACCCTAAACCCTAGACCTATCAAGACAAGCAGACCCGGAGTCGGCGCATGAGGTCCTCGTGTGCCTTCTCGATCACGGACAGGGACACACCCATGTCTTTCGCGAGATCCTCGCCACTCGAGTAGTACTTCATGACCTTCGGCTGACCCAAACGGGTTTAGGGTTTAGGGTTTAGGGTATAGGGTTTAGGGTTTAGGGTTTAGGGTTTAGGGTGTAGGGTGTAGGGTGTAGGGTGTAGGTGTTTGGGGGTGATCCTGGGGGCCTATCTTGGAAACTCCGGAAATCGCTCAGGATTGGGGATGTGCCTTCGTTTAGCCCACCATACAGTAGCAAGGGTCTCCATCAAAAAGCATATCGTTTCCCCATTTACGCAACCACCCTAGTTGGAAGAAGCAAGACCCTAAACCCTGGCCCTAAACCCTAAACCCTAAACCCTAAACCCTAAACCCTAAACCCTAAACCCTAAAACCCTACCTCCTCGGTCCCGCACCCTCCTCCATGAGCCTGAAGCGCCTACCCTAAAAACTCCATGTCCTTCACCCAAGACCCCAAACCCTGGACCCCGAATCCCAAATTGTCAATGCCCCAAAGCCCTAAACCCACGAGTCAGCCCCACGCTCACAAGAAGCAACACACTCCAAAGCTGGGGTTTAGGGTTTAGGGTTTAGGGTTTACGGTTTGGGGTTTAGGTTTGGGGTTTAGGGTTTAGGGTTTAGGGTTTAGGGTTTAGGGTTTAGGGTTAAGACGAGAGAGCTCATAGGATTCGGGCCCCTCTCCTATTATACTAACAGTGCATTACAGGGATTATAGTACCCCCTATTACAATCCCCTTTAAGGACCGCTAGTATAAGGGGAACATCCCAAGCTATTCCTTTTTATAAGGGGATCCTACTATTTGGGGATCTATATTACGGGTCCCCTATTTGTGTAAACCCCCATATCCTCGTCTATGCTCCTGCGCCCCTACTTCCTCAAGCCCTGGGGTTACCTCACCTTCCATCCAGGCGGGGTGGCTTACACAAGAGCAACGAAGCCTGAACCACAAACCTTCTGCAACCTGAGAATTCTCCAGTCCTGAGGCAGTAGGCTCATCATACCACTCCAATACAATACCCATTAAGGAGATGGACCGTGCGCTAAAGCCTTTAGGGCAAACTTCCCCAAAACAGCTACTCTGGGCATCACACGCCGCGGCCGGTGTAGTGCCTTTGTGGGTGAGACCCAAAACCGAAAGGACCCCTAAATCCCAAAGTGCCCTGCATATGTCTCTTTACACAAGAGAACTAGAAACGCTCCCAAAACCCTGAATACATGCCCTAGATGCCCTCAAACGCCCATACTGCCACTGTCACAAGTCTGGCACGACCAATAGCGTACCAACTAAAACCCGAAGTGCACTCAAACAAGCCCTAAACCCTGACACGACCCCCTACCCGCTCTGCTTTTTTCAAGCCGGTCGAGACCCATTACATCCCCAAAACCCTTGAACACTCTAAGCTTGGGATGCTCCCCCTTATACTAGCAGTCCTTAATTGGGATTATGATCGGGGGTACTACTCGAAGATCACCAGTTTGCGTCTGCCGTGGAGTGTTTCCTGATGTTGACGGCATCTGGGCAAATACCGGTGGTTTAGGGCCCTCTTCGTCAACACCGTTCCATGACGGTTTAGGCTTTATAGGCTTTATAGAGCTTAAGTACAGGCCTAAAAGGGCTGCCGGTGTAGCAGGGGTTTCGGGTTCGGCCTTTGGTTGCCTTGCGCCGTTATTTACCAGACAGGCTAAGCAGTCCATGACTCTGAACCTTTGCCATTCTCAGCTGAAGCTGCTTGCAGTGCCAGATGATCTCATCCGACGCGGCCTTGTTCAGGCAAAGCCTGACAGAGTCAGGACGCAGCCCTATTTCCCAAGCCCAGAACAGTCTAACCTGAACCCCGACGCCCTAAACCCCCTGAACCCCAAACCGAAAACCTCAAAGCCTCAACAATGAAAGTCCTGACAATCGTCGCCGCGGTCGGCATATGGCATATCGGATCTACAGGATTTGGTGAGGGGATTTGGGGTTTAGGGTTTGGGGTTTGTGTTCATGCTGAAAGTCAAGAACCCCATGAAACCGAAACTTACAAAGGTATCATACCCTAAAATCCTAGCTACCCCCCCACCCCCCCCCCCCTGGGTGGGTTTACACGAAGCTGACACAAGGAAATCAGCATCAAGGGAGGCCTGCCCAAGCCGCTAAACCCTTACCCCCCAGTCCTGAAACCCTTAACCCGAAATCCTAAACCCCAAACCTGAAACCCGAAGCCCCTAAGCCCTGAACCCTAAACCCTAAACCCTAAACCCTAAACCCTGCTCCAACCCCCTGCAGCATTCTCCCGATAGCCTGAAGGGCGGCTTGCTCTTCCACATCTCGCCGGTGACGTAGTCTCTGCCTTTGGAGGGAGTTCGGGGTTTAGGGTTGAGGGTTTAGGGTTTAGGGTTTAGGGTTTAATTTAGGGTTTAGGGTTGAGGGTTGAGGGTTTAGGGTTTACGTGACGATGAGCTAGCTGAAGCCGGAGGCACTTCGCGATCCAGCACAAGCCTAGGGACAGTCAAAGGGCTCATTCGGGTATAGGGCCTTTGGGGCTTGGGGGCTCGGGGTCCAGCGCACTGTTGCGCCTCAGAAGTAACCCTGAAGCCCTCAATCTCCCAAATCCATGGAAAGCCTCATTCGGTGCAGGGTTTGGGTTTAGATTTAGGGTTCCCTAACCCTAAACCCTAAACCCTAAACCCTAAGCCCTAAGCCCTAAACCCTAAACCCCAAACCCTAAACCCTAAACCCTATCCTCCTAAACTCCTCCCCCCCCAAGGCCCCTTTGCAAAGCACCGGCTCAGCTCCTGGCGCCCCAGCTCGTTGCAGAAGCGATTGCCCTCCGCCTGCGATCAAAGGTTTGGGGTTTAGGGTTTAGGGTTTTAGGGTTACGCAAGGTTGAGGGTATGCGCAGGGTTGCCGGTAAGGTTTCCGACACGACATCAAAGCCTTTCTACAAGATCCCAGATCCAGACTCCAGGATTTTGGGGTTTAGGGCTGAACAGGGGCTAGGTTTAGGGTTTAGGGTTTGGGGTTTGGGGTTTGGGGTTTAGGGTTTGGGGTTTAGGGTTTAGGGTTTAGGGTTTAGGGTTTGGGGCTTAGCGCTTAGGGCTTCGGGTCGAGACCCCGATCTCATGTTTGCCAAGCAGCGTTGAGGATGATGCCGCCCACGCCGCGCAGGGCCTCCGCGAGGGTCTCCGATAGGAGATGAAAGCGCAAGGCTTGACTGTCTACAGTAAGATCCAGAAAGTTAGAACATGGTTTAAGGATGAATTCGAGCTGGGATTCCCTTAGTATACCTTTTGGGGTATAGTCCTAGGGGTACACGGGCCAGTCCATGAATCCTTTATTAGGCCCGTAACACTCTTTTCTTTCGTTCTACATTCACTTCCCTTTATCTCTTCACTCTGTTCTCTATTCATGCGTCGTGTTCGCTGGCTCACTTACTCCTTATAATAGAGAACGTGAAGAGAACATGTGAAGTGAATTACAAACGAATGCAATGAGTGCGTGAATTAACTGAACATGTGAACGAAACCCACAGTTGATGATTCATAGACTTGGAAATGAAGGTGAAAGGAATGAACTAAAAAGGCCCTATCATTTTTCCCTTTTGGCCTTTTTAAGTGAATGAGTGAGCCGAATGAACAAGCGAGGAAAGTAGTGTGTTAAAGGGGCTCTTAATAAATATACTAAATTAGCCCCTTTACCACCTTTAATAATATTAGTCACCCAACACCGGACCTCCGCAGCCAGGAACTTGATCTTGGCGTCCGCGTCGTCCGGCTTCACCAGGCCGGTTGGGTGGACCTGTTTGGGCGCGTAGGGTTTAGGGTTTAGGGTTTAGGGTTTAGGGTTTAGGGTTTTGGGTTTTGGGTTTTGGGTTTTGGGTTTTGGGTTTTGGGTTTTGGGTTTTGGTTTTCAGGTTTAGGGTTTAGGGGTTTAGGGTTTAGGGTTGAGGGTTGAGGGTTTAGGGTTTAGGGTTTTGGGGGTTTGGGGTTTGGGGTTTGGGGAGGTCTTACTTACTAGCTCTTGACAGAGAATATGGGAGTTTGTCACCTTGTATTCTCCTTTTGAAACCTTTAAGGGACTATCTCGGGACCATACTTCCCAAATTAAAGCCAAGCAAGGGTTTGAGGTTTGGCTTGTAGGCTTGCAGGGCACCAAGCGCTTGGTTTAGGGCCTTTCGGGCATTTGGGACCGCTAAGGGGTCTTGAAGGATTCACACTTTAATGCACTGATCTGATCCTGATTCAACCTTTAAAACGAAACCTGCGCCCTGGCAACACTGCAAGTTCTCAACCCATGCCACGTCCACACCTGCACCCACTCGAGGTCAATCGTCTTGGCCCCAATGGCCTGGAGAGGTGTGCGCTAACCCCAGACCCTGAAGGTTTTGGAGTTTGGGGTCTTCAGGATTCATGAATTTCAGGGTTTCCCAACAGGGAAAGCCCCCAAACTACCTGAATCTCAACTAACACGAGCAGACTATAGCTCTCTTGGGAAGGTGGTTGAGTAGTCCGTTTATTTAGGGCACCTTGACCCCAAACCCCTACACAGGCCCTACACCCTGTGCTGCTGCCAATTTAGGCTTAGAACAGAGGTGTTGTGACAGCGGTTGCGGATGTGCACAAAACGTGGCAAGACAAGCCTCCTGAGAATCAAACCTCTCCACTATCACATGTGGGTCAGTCCCCCCCATTCCCCCTCGTTAGAATAGGGTCTCATGCTGGGGGCCCAAACAGGGGGCCAGATGGTACTTTGGAGAACGGATGCATCTGAGCCCCAAACCTAAAAACCGTGAATCCTCGTCAACTTGCCCAAGGCCCCCCCTAAACCCTAAAACCCCAAACCCCAAACCCAAACCCAACCCTAAACCCTAAACCCTAAACCCCAAACCCAACCCCAAACCCTTAACCCTAAACCCAAAACCCTAAACCCTAAAACCCTAAGCCCTAAACCGTAAACCCTAAACCCTAAACCCCACCCCCCCCCCCCTCTCACCCCTTGCCGCCTCACCCATCTTGATGCCGTCGCCGGTGCAGTGCTCGCCGTTGGTGGTGGGCCTGAACGCTGGCTTTTGGACTTGGCTCGGCTTTGGCCCCGAGCCCCCCATGCAGGATTCTCTTGAAGCCGGCAAACTTGCCGTTCATTCGGCCCTGTCCGAAACCCTCAACGCGACGCCCTGAACCCTAAAACCCCTGCTGCTTTCAGGTGGCTTGGGCCCCTAAACCCTAGACCTTGAAACCCTAAGCCGTGAGCCCTAAGCCCTAAACCCCCTAACCCAGGCCCGGAGTGTTACTGCGCATGAACTCCATGATACTCTGGAAGCGGCAGAGAAAGCAAAGTTGAGCAATCCGACACCGAGGGTATAGGGTGTAGGGTCTATGGTGAAGACACAAAGCAACCAAGTAGGTTGCGGGGCTCTCTGGGGGTAGGAGGTGCAATGAACCTCTGAGCGATTCTCCGCAGGTTTTTCAATTCTCCCGAAACCCGGCTTAAACTTCAACACCCCCACACCGAGGGGTGAGGGTGATGAAAAAAACACGGACCTTGGGGAGCCAGGTGGTGTTCCGTGTCGAGTGCATACTCAGCACCCCCCCCCCAAAAAAAAAAACACAACAAATAAATAAAGTAAAAATAAAAAATAAAAATAACAATAATAATAGTAATAGTAATAGTAATGTAATAGTAATAGTAATAGTAATAGTAATAGTAATAGTAAGAGTAATAGTAATAGTAATAGTAAGAGTAATAGTAAGAGTAATAGTAATAGTAATAGTAATAGTAATAGTAATAGTAATAGTAATAGTAATAGTAATAGTAATAGTAATAGTAATAGTAATAGTAATAGTACTAGTAATAATAAAAAATAACTAATAAATACTAATAGGAATAACAACACATAATCAATAAATAATACATAATACATAAAGAAGTAGTTCAAGGGGTGCAGCTTGCGAGCTCCTTCGCTGCGACTGTCGCCAGCTCCGGAGCCAGCAACCCCGGACGCTGCTCACCACAGAAAGCCTGTTCCCCCAAAAAACCACGACATGAACCCCTTGCTGTGGGATCCCCCAAAGAGGAGGACCCCTCGTTTTGGGAGAACAAACCCTAAACCCTAAACCCTGAACCCTGAAACCCAATTGACTGAAAGAAGGAGCTTGAGGCCAGGCTGCAGGTGAAGCAGGTCGGGCCGATACTTGGCCAAGAGCGAGTCCTCCCAGCGCAGGTTGTGGGTTTAGGGCTTCGGGTTTCGGGCTTAAGGTGGTGTAGGGTGTGAGGTTTTGGGTTTCAGGAGGAACAGCAAGGTTTAAGGTTTAGGGTTTAGGGTTTAGGGTTTAGGTTTTATGTTTCGGGTTTAGGTTTTAGGTTTAGAGTTTAGAGTTTAGGGTTTAGGGTTTAGGGTTTAGGGTTTAGGGTTTAGGGTTTAGGGTTTAGGATTTAGGGTTTAGGGTTTAGGGTTTAGGGTTTAGGAACAGTAGTTAAGGTGTGGGTGAAGTTTGGGGTTTGTATGCTCAAGCATCGAAAGATGGCGTTTGAGATGTGCTCAGAGCTCCATCCGGAACCCGAAACCCGATAACCCTCTAACCCTATAACCCTAAACCCTATAACCCTACAACCCTAAAACCCCTATAACCCTAAACCCCAAACCCTCAGCGCCAAACCCAGGATTCCCCGTCGCATGGAATCGGAACCCCAGCCGCTTCTCTGAGACGACTGAAGTGCGGCGTCCTCACCCAATGGCCCCGAAGTCTTTCTGTGGCCCTAGCCCTGTGCTTTGCTTACCTCTGGGTTGTGGTGCTAAAGGGATAGGGTTTAGGGTTTAGGATTTAGGGTTTAGGGTTTCGGGTTTAGAGGGCTTAGGTTGGGGGGTCTGGGGGGGTTTGGGGGGTTTGGGGTTTGGGGTTTAGGGTTTAGGGTTTAGGGCTTGGGGTTTAGGGTTTAGGGTTTAGGGTTTAGGGTTTAGGGTTTAGGGTTTAGGGTTTAGGGTTTAGGGTTTAGGGTTTAGGGTTTAGGGTTTAGGGTTTAGGGTTAGGTTTAGGGTTTAGGGTTTAGGGTTTAGGGTTTAGGGTTTAGGGTTTAGGGTTTAGGGTTTAGGGTTTAGGGTTTAGGGTTTAGGGTTTAGGGTTTAGGGTTTAGGGTTTAGGGTTTAGGGTTTAGGGTTTAGGGTTTAGGGCGAGAAACGTGGGCGGCTCCATGCTCCCGACCCTCTTCCTTACGTGAACAAGGAGGGCTCCTGGGTGAAGTCGGCGCCGAAGCCGCCTTGGGAGCTTTGGGGTGGCTCTTGTGCCTTACGTAGGGTTTAGGGTTTAGGGTTTAGGGTTTAGGGTTTAGGGTTTAGGGTTTAGGGTTTAGGGTTTAGGGTTTAGGGTTTCGGGTTTGGGGTTTAGGGTTTAGGGTTTAGGGTTTAGGGTTTAGGGTTTAGGG